TAGCCCAAGAATTCATGCACTCATTAAGACAACATTTCACAGAAATTAGAAAAAAAAAAAAAACATTACAAAATGAAGTGATGGCATTTTATACCAAAAAACGTTAAAGGTCAGCTTGACTGCAGCATTGTAGTTTTCCACGAAAACACAATTCTGGCCTTTATTCAGTGCCATACCTCAGGGGCAGAAGAGGAGGAAATTGTGGCCATTTTTCAAATTTGGTCAGATACTCATGTAGAGATATTAATCTCCCCACCTGTTTAACTTCTCCAAAGTCTTTGAAAAAAAAAAAAAAAGCTAACAGACTCTCTAAGTTACCTTGTAAAACATGTTGTCAGTATTTTGGCTAAACGTCTCTTAAACACAGACAGGTGGCAGCATTGTTGTGGGATAAGGATCTGGAAAATGGGATGCAAAAAGACTCAGGTGTTTAATGCAGTCTGGTTTTCAGAGCTCATATCGCTCTTATTAAGCTCATTTGTCAACACTTTTCTGCACGCAATCTCGCATCACGGAGCTCTGCAGGATGTTCATCTTCATACTGTGCTGATTGGAGGTGCTGAGTGAAGCATCTCCTACAGGTACACTGTTAAGATTAAACCCCAGCTGTTACGATCACTCAGCAGTGAATCACTCCATTCGGGCTGGAAGAAAATTAGCAGGTGCTGCACATCACCACGGCATGAATAAGATTGTGAAGGCAGATTGTCTGCGTTCAAATGCAATGCAAATGTCCTTTGCTGTCAATATGTTCTAATTAACAAAGTGTCAAATGCAGCAGGGAAGGAAAAAGAGTGATTATGAAGACAAATGATCCGACAACACGACTTAACTTTGGTTTCTTTTCTCTCTTGTACAGGAATGCTTCCTTTAAAAATGCTGCCACACAGACCTTTCATACTGCTGCTGAATGGAAATATGTCAGGGACTGTAAAGTGTTGCCTCATTGATATTCTCAGAGATTTCACTGATTGTTTTCCCCTTTCTCCTGTCTGTGTCTTTGCCGTTTGTCTCAGCTCTGCTTTAAAAAATGATACCACAAATTTGCTTTAAGCATACTGCCTTTCTTCTCTATACAATCCGTCTGCAGCTTTCTTTCAGAACCTGTGAAATAATGGGTTTTGTAACTCAATTTTTCCATCGCAGGTCATTGCTAGTGTGTGAAAGTAACCTCCCACTCACCATTTCTCAAATGAAACATCAACAGAGGAGCAAGAATTTGAGGTCAAAGACAATCAGTCTGCTTATAAACAGGAACAGGATTTAATCACATTTTTGTTTTAATATGCGCAGGATTATGTGTGTGAAACAGATTACTTCAAATCTTTGACAAATGGTTGCACACCAGCCCCCTCAACCCCAATGATAAATTTGTCTTGTTTAAGTCACTTCTAGCGGAGCTTTGCTTTGACCTCTGTTTCGGCCATGAAGGTGAAGTAAATCGTAAGAGTTTTTAAGAATTCATAAGCTGTAAGACGGAAGAGGAAGAAAATGCATGAATGATTTCAAATTAAAAAGTCGAGCTTAGCTGTGGAGGCAGGATTTTGTAAAAAAAGAAAAAAGCCATGTTTTTTTTTTTTCACCATGCATTTTCAGCCATTGTTGGGTTGTGCTGTTGGTTGGGTCGCCATTTTTGTCCAAACTAAAATATCTCCAAAATAAGTGATTAGATTGCCATAAAAATTTGTACAGATATTCTTGTTCCCAAGAGGATAAATCCGACTGACCTTGGTAATCTCCTGGCTGTTTTTCTCGAGCTGGAGGAGTGTGATTTTAGATGAATGTCTCAGCAAACATGGATTGTCAGGAAATCTGGTCCACACAGTATTGTTCTCTTCAAGGTTAAATTTAGCAACAGCATCAGGTCAATATGTCTTATGAGATCCAATGCAGTTGTTTTTTTTTGTTTTTTTTTCCTCTGACATTACTTCTATTGGATTTTTAGAAAAAAAAACGATGAAATCCTGGGGTTCAAACTACAGCTTGACCACTCTGTCCACCAATTTGATCAGCTGATTCAGGCCTATCACAGACACTGTATGGCAGTATCGGTGTACTTATTGTTCAGTATGAAAGCTTATTTTAAAAGACTACGAAAGAAAAGACACTTAGAATAAGTTCAAATTGGTGATCATAGTTTGTACAGCAGAGTGCCCCCTGACTCCATTATTTGTAATACGCTTAGCAGCACATGCAGCAGAGTGCACATTACAACTGAGCAGACGATGGTGAGGAGTCCAGCAGTGTCTTCGCTGTAAGCTGCTGACTAGTTTGTGAAAAACATAGCTGGAATAAACAATCACTGTATCATTTTCCCTTTTCAAAGTAACTCATTACTGTGTTCCCTATACAGTGTGTAACAAAAGTGAGTAAATTTCTGCAAATACTTTATTACATCTTTCCATGGGACAACACTGAAGAATTGGCACTTTGCTACCATGTAAAGTAGTCAGTGTTGTATAGGTGTAAATACACAGCCATTAATGTCTAAACCGCTGGCAACAAAAGTGAATACACCCCTAAGTGAAAATGTCCAAATTGGGCCCTGTTAGCCATTTTCCCTCCCCGGTGTCATGTGACTCGTTAGTGTTACAAGGTCTCAGGTGTGAATGGGGAGCAGGTGTGTGTTTAATTTGGTGTTATCGCTCTCACACTCTCTCATGCTGGTCACTGGAAGTTTAACATGGAGTGTTTGTGACATACTGTAACTGCTGTGTGACTTGTGGTTGTTAGTGAGATAGCATCAGAGCATCGCTTCCATTTATTCTGCAGATGATGGTGCAGTGGTGGATTGAGTCTGTTGAGTGTTGACTTCATGCTAGTTGGTGGGGTGCAGTGTTGAATTAAAAAGAGTCCCATCTTTTACTTAAACCGTCAAGTCGCTCATTCTTTGTTTGCTACATTACTCATTAACACAATTTTAATAAGTTTTATGTAGAAGGTTACATGTTATGTAGTGATAACTTTGTATGTTATCATTAAAAAAAAAGGTCTTAGAACTTGAACATATTTTGTTATATATATACCAAAAAGTATTTCCTATTGTACCATGAAACTGATTCCCTTTTTTTTCTGGTGTATGAACTCTTTGTCTTGTCTTTTTCTGTGCAATTTCCTCCAGAGACCACATTTTATGGACCAGAATATTCTTTAGCAAAGTTCAAATTTAATCTAGCAGTATCAGTGTTACGGTGATAAACTGCTTTTATATCCAGCTATTTTGGATATTATATGCCTGTAAGAAAATAATTCTTTTTAATGAAGTCCCACTATTTATTTACTTAGCAGTGAAGCTTTTTCCTGCCCTGTTGACTCCACTGTTTGCTGGCAGATATTAATGTCTTTTCCTTGTTGAAATCAACCAACTGTGGTTTTGAGGCACCATGGCTGACCACGTCGCTATTCTCTGCTTTTGTTCTTTCCTAAAAATAAAATTAAACATTTGAAAAAGATGATTATCAGTTGCTTCTTATCCTCCTGACCACAAAATGCTTCCCTGTCATGCATTTCTGCATCCTGGCACATTGCTCAAAGTAATAAATTGCTGCTTGGTATTAGTAACATCAACTGAACTCATTTGAAACCTGCAGCCCTCTATACTTCAAGTGACACTGTTTGCATGATGTGCTCTCTTGTTGCCAATAGAGGTCAATCCAGACGTGATCTTTTCCTTGTTCTGTGGTCCCTCGTCCTCTGTGGAGCCATCAAGCTTGCCTTTTCTCTCAAGGTTAATTTCATTTGAACTACACCAGCTCTTGTAGTGGCTTGCTGCTTGTCTGTTTTAAGGTGCTGTCTTTATTGATTGCTGGGAAATGAAATTATACCTCACTGTAAAGTGGAGCCGAGCCCTGTTGGACACAGTTAATGATCCTCTTATAGCAGTTCATATAATTCCCCACTCATCTCCTCTCTCCCTTGTCATGTGTTCAATCCATCAGCTGCAATTAGCCAGAGCTAATGGTTGTTATCTTGTTGAGAAGGGTTACTTCTTTTTTTACTTGCTACCTGTGCAGACAGACCGATGGGTATTTATTCAAATAAATACTGAGTAATAATTATTAAGACGCCCCTTATGCTAAAGTATATAAATATCAACACTTGCATATTGTTTAAGTAGTAGCTCAAACACAACTAACACATATACATGCAAGTGCAAATATTTTATCCATGCTAGCACCTTCCCAATGAGCCAACATCCTAGTTGGTGAGTGTTTTTTTTAATTTTTGTTTTGCATGCTACATTAAGACAAAAAACACAATAGATTTTTGTAGATTTTTGTTATTTTTAACATATTTTTCTACATTTCTGACAGGAGAGGCAGAACATCATTTAGGAAAGTTAGTCTTGTTTTCTTGCTTGCAAAGTCCAATATTTTCACTTCCCAACTTTTTGTCATTAAATGACATTGTCAAGGATTTACTGCAACTTTTTCCATAGTAAGCATTACAGGTAGTAAACAGAAGCAGTTACTTTCTCAAAGAGCCAGTTGAGCTGTTTCTTTTTTTTTAGCCTTTATGCTAAGCTAAGCTAACATACATTAGCCTAGCTTAGCATGTAGCATTAGCTACATAGCTTCACTTCACAGTACAGACACAAGAATAGGTTCGTATTTTTTCTCTGTATTATTAAACAAAATGAATAAGCAAATTTTACAAAATATTCCACTTTTTTTTTCTTTTCTTTTTTAAAGATAGTGTCGGACGTTTAAGAATTACTTTCTTTACTCTTGCAGTGACTCCATGTTAAAGACAGGAACACATAAATAAGCAAAGTGACCTTACTGAGTCACAGTCATAAAAACCATTTATTGCCTTTTACAACAAGTCAACAGCTTGAGCACGACGTTCAGCCTCAATCCAAGATCCAAGTGAACTGAGGAGCGTGACGACAGTCTCTACCACGACTGGAATTCTTCCTCATGTCCTGACAGCAAAATGCTTAACTTGGAGGTTAAAATATTCTGTTGGAGTTAAAGGACACACTTCTGATGGCGTTGCCGATGGGTCCAGTGTGGCTGCTGTTGGCCTTCGCTGTGGTTTATAACCCAGCGTCGGCCGCCGCCTGCTCAGCCCAGGAGTTTACCTGCACTCAGGGTTTCTGTGTGACTCAGGACTCTGTGTGTGACTTCACTGACGACTGTGAAGACGGCAGCGATGAGAAAAACTGTGAGTGAAATGTGACAATTTACAATCTAAATGTGATTGATATTATAAAGGAGAAATTAAAGAAGGCAGACTAATTAGACGGAGAAGCCAAAGCGTACTTCAGATGAGCATAAAACTAAAAATTATTCATAATTCACAGGTGGCTGCAGCACATTGATTGTGTGAATGTGCCAGTGAAATAAACATTTTCAGTGGTTTGTAACTGACATGGAGAGTAAATTGCCTCCCTCTGAGAAAAAGATGGATAACCCTGGATTGGGCACGTCCATGATGTGCCATTATGATGTTTCATTCAAAACCATCAAGCCTATTTACAGCTGAAATAATGGGAAAAAAAAAAACAAAAAAAAAACTGTATCCCACACAGGGCCTGGATAATAGATGATTATCACAAAAAACCCACAATTTTTTCACTCGTTTTTTTTCAAAAGCTTTTCTTATGAAGCAATTTAGTGTTTATATTCCACTAGTGTTCCTGTTACATTGCATTGCTTATAGCCATAATCTGAAATAGTTTTATGGTTCTGGCTGAAGAGTATATTATACAATCTTTAAATGTTACCTGCTTTCATGCAGGTAATTGAAATACATTAATTAGAAATTGAATAATGATGCTTTATTTTCATACTCTTAGCATGACAGTCCAGCTCTGCATAACTCTGTTTATGATTATGTCCTAAAGCTTTATACCTTGAAAATTCAACCCATTTTCTACTTTCAACAGATATATTCTCCAGTTAGTCATCACAGGATCTTATAAGAATGTGACTTTTTCTGACATTACTGCAGTTTTTGAAATTTACAAAAGTCTAAAAGCAGATTATGCATGCCTTATTCCATTGTTTTTTGGAGAGTTAATTGCTTGTTGTTGTTTTTTTAAAAGATTCAAAAGTAAGCAAAAGGTGTCCAGAACAGTCTGGCAGATAATCCGAAGTCTATAGGGGGAGAAAAAACAAAACCACCAAAAAACAAAGCTGGCAGGCAGTCCAGAAACAGGTCATATACCACAGTTCAAAAAACCAAAAGGTCCAGAGGACAGCCTGGGAGCCTGTCAGCAAGGCAAAAAAAAAAAGATATACTCCACAGGTAGGCAGGGCTGCTCCGGAGGACGGCCTGGAGGCTGAATGGCCAGGCGGGCCCACAGAGGCCAGCGGCAATGGCACCCATCAGGAGGTCGGACCGGAGGCTTGTGGCCTCGAAACCCATCAGGTGGTTGGGGTCGAGGTCGGCAACGGACAAGACGGAGACCCTCGGGCGGTCGGGGTGGAGGCCGGCGACGGAACCCATCAGGGGGCTGGAGGCCGGCGACGAACGAGACGGAGATCCCCGAGCGGCCGAGCTGGAGGCCGGCGACGGACGAGACGGAGATCCCCGGGCGGCCGAGCTGGAGGCCGGCGGCGGACGAGAC